GGAACTACAGCAAATTAAAAAGCTTCTGCATAGCAAAGAAAACAATCAACAGAGTGAAGAGAAAACCTGAAAACAGTGGGGAAAATTGGTAGCTACTGTTTTTATAGAGGGCTAGTATTTAGAATATATAAAGAACTGAAAAAATATTCACCCCCTTCAAACCAAGTGGCCCAATCCAACAATAGGCAAATGAACTTAAGAGGCACTTTTCAGAGAGTACAAATGGCCAGTAAGTAAAGAAGAAAAGAAAGAAGATATTCTTATGAATACTATTGTTTTCTCTCTTCTTCTTCTTCTTGAACACAGCAACAATAATGGGGAAAGTTTTGTGTAACCTAAAACTTCTTTTGTTCTTCTGTTCAATAACCAATTGGGAGATGTGAAGAGGCAACCAAAACCCATTGGTCGCATGCCTACTGCATTAATGTGGCTGCACCCATCACGAGGTCTCCTGCTGTTTGCATTGTGACTTGCTTATCAGTTGGCAAAACAAATATTTTACTCTCCCCTTACTTGATTTGATAGTGTCCATTCTCTGTTTGAAAGTTTCCGTAAATAACAGGCTCAAGAGCAGTTCCCTTTGTCTAGTGGCCTTAGGAGTGAATTTTTATTTCCTCCTAGTTTTTATCATTTTCTATAGTAAACATATGCATTTTTAATTTTTTAAAAGTAAACTTTTTAAAAAAGTTGCACAGTTGTGTTGAAGTAAATGCATTTCCACTTGCAGAAGCTAAAAGACATACTGGTTTATAATTCTTTTCTGTGTAGAGTATGTTGACCATAACACTAATATTGTGAAACAACTTAATGAATGTCTGTAGGGCACACAGTAGAGCAGTTTCATTATTTAAAAAGCTTTCCATTATCTACATATTTTCCCTTAGTATTGGTTTTATTAAAATCTTGGTTGAGGTTTTTTTTCCCCCCCTGTTCTTGGTCCCATTTTATCTAGAAATAAAGCCACAAAAAAGCTTTGTCTGCTTGTCTTGGTGCTGTGTTGCAAGTTTTAAAAATACAGTAATTTGTCCATGTGTGGTGGCACACACCTGTGATCCCACACTGGGGAGGCTGAGGCAGGAGGATCGCCGTGAGTTCAAGGCCAGCCTGCATTACATAGTGAGACCCTGTCTCAAAAAGCAAAAACTGTGAAGTATCATTAATTAATTACTAAGAACAGACGGTTGAGCAATTGTTTGTGATACTGTTTATACAGCAGGAATAAGGGGAGGACTTGTGGATAGAAACATCTGGAAAGAGCTACTCTTTTCCTGTACTGTTTGGGACAGTTTTACAGAGATGTATCGAGTCACCCGAGCAGTATTTCAAAATGCATAGTTTACTTGACAGCATTTACAAATTATGTCTTTTCCTCAGAATAGCTTACACTATAGAAATGTTTCCATATGCTAAAGTTGGACATATCATTGTAATGAAGAAGAAAAGATATGTCTTTTAGTAGCTAGTTTTTATATGCATACTAAACTATAATATGTACAAATTAATAATGCTGTCCCTTAAGAATTTCTCATAAATGGTTTTCTAATTCTTTTTGCAGCTCTCTGCTAAAGATGGGAAGTAGATTTTACCACAAAATAATGGCTCCTCCTGAATTCAATTATGATATATCTAACTAAGGAAAACTTGATAGCAAATATAAATCTTACATTAATGAAAAAATACATATTTTCCACCAACTCCTTTGTGCTTCTTAAAGTCCCAGGAGGAGGCAGTTTCCAACATCGAATTCCAAAATTCCAAAATACATAAATTTGCAGTTAGCTCTTTTCTATCTGGACTTTAGAATAGGAATTGGCAAACTGTGGCCCCAGGGCCAACACTAGCTCACCATCCACTTTGTTTTTTATTTTTTGAGACAGGGTCTCATTTTTGTAGTACAGGCTGGCCTTGAACTCACTGTGTAGCCCAGGCTGGCCCCGAACTTGTGGCGATCCTCCTGCCTCAGCCTCCTGAGGGCTGGGATTACAGGTGTGCAATGCCACGCCCAGCTTTTACCACCTACTTTTGTACGTAAAGTTTTATTGGAACACAGACATGCTCATTCATTTATATATTGTCTCCAACTGCCTCTGTGCTTCAACAGCAGAAATGGATAATTGTGACAGATGTTATAGCCCAGAAAGTCTAAAATATCTGCAACATATCTATATAGAAAAGACACCGCAGCATTTAATAAGCATTTCCACATTGCAGCATTTAATATGTTAATGAGCATTTCCTTATTTCTCATCTTGTAGGAATAAATGGCTGCTACTCCTGCCAGCCCTAGTTCTCCTGCCAGGTTTTGGGGGACATACCAGATGACAGCCACAGTTGCACAAAGCTCTAATAAAACACCGAAAAGAAATCTACCACCCAAGGAAGCACTGCTCTCTTCTCTTGGATTAACAGCAACAACCTTGGCAGTCAAAATGCATGTATTTATTACATTTGACGACAGTTTTAAAATGTATGTTCTCCAAGCAGTCCATAAATGATTTTGCAAAAATTTTTAAAATCTGTCTTTCTACCTCAAGTTCTTAATACTATTTTGACAAGGTACTGTATACCAGTATGTGACACTTTTGCTCAGTTTTTTAATTCAGCATTTGAAAGTAGCTCATGATCATTTTTTCCCCCATTTCTTAGAACAAATGCTTCAAGAAATGTGAAGGTATTTGGGGACCTTCAGCTACACATATGTCATTCAAGTTACCTTTAAAGAGTAAGTGACAGCAAAGTAAATTGATGATTTGGTATATATTTTAGCTCTAAAATAAAAGATAGAAAATAGGAATTAGGGAGATAGATCTTTTGCAAATGGGAAGGGACCAAGAGATAAAGTGGAGAGGAGAAGGGGAAGAGAAAGAATTAAGATGTGTTATGTATGTGTACCAATTCCCCATGATGAATATAATCATGATGTACTGAGCATACATATCAATAAAAATTTAAAAATCTGTTCTTGAAAATCAGATATTCAGCATCAAAATGTTAACCAAAATGTCAATGTTAAAATATTTCACACTCGTCACAACCCCAACCAATCTTCTAAAATGTAACTATATTTCTTCCTACAAATTCCTAAAAGCTAACTAAATACATTGATAAAATATCTGTGTGTGAGAATATATGCACACAATAAATTATGTTGGGATGGAAACTTCAAAAAATAAAATATTTTTTAGCTCTAATAGTCTACTTGAGTAACAACAAAAAGAACATGTAAGTAATAAGTCAGTCATTAACAGTTCCAATAGAGTATGTCCCCAACTTAGGGACATTTGAGTTTCAAACTTTTACAAATAGGAGCAGACTTCACATGTCAAACATCTGTAGGTGGGAACAAATCTCGGAAGAAGCTCACATGTCTACCTTGCCATTTTAAGCTAACTGTAAAAGTAAAAATAGTTTATTTACAGTATTTGTGTGTGTGTGTGTTTGGTTTTTTTATGCTTTACATTGTATATTTGTGCCAAAGGTATTTAAGACTCACTTTGCTGGACTTACAAATAAATCTGACTTACGAATGTTCTCCTGGAACAAAACTTATTAGTAAGCCAGAGACTTCCTGTAATTCCAAATATTAATAAATAATATAACAATAATAAAAATAGACAGTTGCCTTTTCTGAGTATTGAAATGGTGAATGTGGATGAAGCCATAGAATAAGGAGGTTTAAAATTCCAAACAAATTTGGCAAAATGATGTTTAGACCTTGGCCCAGGCTTTCCATTTTGTTTTGTTTTGTTTTTGCTTTTTGAGAAAGGGCCTCACTATGTAGTTCATGCTGGCCTTGAGCTCACTGTTCAGTCCAAGCTGGCCTCAGCCTCTCAGTCTGGCTCAGTTAGTCATTTAGGGTTAGGCTGCAATCCAGGAGCTGGGGTCATGGCAGTGAACGAGATCAGTAAGATCCCACTTTCAGAGAGCTGACCTTCTGGTGAGGGATACAGGGCAATAGTGGCTTACACCAGGCCTGGAAAAACAGAACCAGGACATAACCCTTAGATCCAAGAGAAATTAGACCAACCAGACAAGAAGGGCTCGTGGAAAGGCCACGAACAGCCAAGCCCATGCACACACTCCCTCTTCGGTCCCCTTCTCTCCTGAATGTCCCCTGTGAAACATTTTCTTAACAAAAGACCTGGCCAAGTCAGTGGCCCATAGAGAAGAATGGTGTTCCCTACTCAGAGGTCTGAATTCCATCTCAGGGAGACACGAGGAGATCCCAACTAACACAAAGGGATCTTGGGGACTTCCTGACTCCTATCATGCTCCTAGCATGCAGTTCTAAGGGGACATTCACCCAGCACCTGGCATGTGGCAGGGCCGTGTTAGGCTGTGGGAGATTGAGGGCTTCTTCCTGTGAAGCACTCTGAGCACAAAGGGACGCTATCTGCTCCCCCAAAATGCCCTGTCCACCCCTTTCCCCTGGCCCTGTGGCCCAGGAAGCTGGCCTTTGGGGACTGCATTAGGGGCTTCTTGTCTTCTGTCTCCTGATTGGATCTGGCCAAAGGGAGTCACCAGCAGGGGCTGAGATAGGCAGAAGAGGGCCGGGTTCTTACTTCCCAGTTCCCTCCCTGCCTGGTCACCGGCGGTAGTGGCTGAGTCCCTGTTGGGGTCTTCTGGCATCGCCACACCCATGGTCATAGCTACAGTGTTCCCTCTGATCTTGACCATGAAGGTGCCCCCGGAAGGGGAGCACCTTTTGCTCCATACCAGGTGGTCACCAGAGCCCTCCAATGCCTTTCCAGAATCTTCTCACTGTCCCATCCTTACCCATCCATTCCACCCATGCAGGCCAGAGATGGGCCTCATGGGCTTCATGTTCAAGCTGCAGGGACCGAGGGAAGATGGGAGGACAGGTGAATGTTCCGGACATGGAGCTTCCTCTCAGCACTGGCAGTGACTCACCTCCAAATGGAACAAAGCTCAGGATGGTGACCAGAGGGACCTCGGCCCCTCCTGCAGAGAAGGAAAGGCTCTGGGTGGCTGTGACTCACCTTTCTGTGTTCAGTGGAGGGCTGCGGGCAGACGAGCTGGAGTCCGAGCAACAGGAGGGAACCCAGGACACTGGGGAGGAAAGACAGCAACAGGAAGGGCTGTGAGTGTGTCCCAGGCAGTGGCAGCCGGAGGGAGAGGACATCCAATCCAGGGGCCCGGATGCGACCAGTGAGGGAGTAAAGAGCCAGCCCAGGGTCTCACGCATGGGGCAGATCTGGGGTCAGATCCCAGCTCCGAAGTACAAACGGCCAATAAATATATGAAAAAAAATGTTCAATAACTCTGGCCATTAGAAAAATGTGAATTAAAATAATGCCAAGATTCCATCTGACCAGAAAGAATGGTCACCATCAAGAAATAAAACAATAACAAATACTGGTGAGGCAGCAGAGATAAAGGAACCCCTCTACACTATTGGTGGGAAAATAAACTAGAACAACTATGGAAATCAGTATGGAGATTCCTCCAAAAACTAGATCTAGAAATTTCATTCAACCCAGCTATTTCTCTTCTAGGGATCTTTCCCAAACAATAAAAGACATCATATTACAAAGTTACATGCATACTGGTGTTTATAACAGCAAAATTCATAGCAGCTAAACTTCAGAAGTAGCCTACATGCCCATCAGCAGACAAATAAATAAAAGAAAATGTGGTATTTATACACAGTGGAGTACTACTCTCCCATAAAGAAGGATAAGCTTGAGTCATTTGTGGCAAAATGGATGCACCTTGAGACCATGATGTTAAGTGAAAGAAATCAGATGTACAAGCTTAAATATTGTATGGTTTCTCCTATAGGAGAAACCTAAAATAAAAAGAGCAAAATAAAAGATAGATTATAGGAAATGGAGACAGATATTTTCCAAGAGGGACCAAGGGATGGAAGGAGAGGAGAAGGAAGAGAATTAAGATGTGCTATGTCCACGTACCAACTCTCCAGGAAGAATGTAATCATTATGTACTGCAAACATGTACTGTACTCATAAAAATACAAATTTTTTTTAAAACACCAGATGGAGCAATTTTTTAAAAATCCAGCTTCACCACTTAGCAGCAGGGCTTCAGGTTCCAGTCTAGCCTCTTTGAGCCTCACTCAACTCCCTCCCTCAGGAAGTGAAGGTAACAGCAGAAGCCAGCTGGGAGGATCGCCATGCACGTGCACGTGCACCGTCCTTCACAGGCACTCAGGCCAAGGCAAAAGTGGGGTCTCTGAGCCTGCCCAGGGCAAGTCCCCTCTTTTCTGCCGGGCTTGGAGCCTTTCTGCTGCATGTCCTTAGTTTGGCGGCATCACGTGTTCTCTCCATGGGTGGCATTAGCTGCATTAAGCTCCACTGTCACCAGCCCTGATTAGGACTTGTCATCAAATCAAGGAGAGGTGTAGAAACGGGAGCCGGCTGGCCGAGAGACAGCAAGTGCTGGAGGGAGTGCAGAGCGGTGGATTCCAGCACATCTAGGCTGGAATCCCAGCCCCAGCACCCCATCTGGGTGCCTGGGTAGTTAACATCTGTAAGCCTGAGTGTCCACGTTCTCATCTTTCCTGGGGGATGGCCGAACAGACAGAGGTGAAAACACCCAGCACTGGAATAAGCCAGAGAAGGGATGAGTGTGGCCAGTTAACTTTCATGCCCGAAGTCTCTTGATTTCAAATCACAGCGTCACTATTTTAAGCATCCCTGCAAGGGGGGTGCTATGTGTTTTGAACCCGTTAGGGCTTAATTAACCCTAATAGAGATGGGGGAAGTTGTGCACTTAAATATCACAACCACCCCACCCCCCGCTTTTGTGGCTTGAGGATTGAACCCAGGGCTTTTGCACTGATCTAAATCTCCACTCCTTTTTACATTTTTATTTGGAGACAGGGTCTCACTTAAGTCGCTAAATTGTCCAGGCTGGGTTCAAACTTGCAGCCTTCCCGCCTCAGCCCCCACAGTGGCAGGATGGCAGGCCTGTGTCACCATGCTCAGCTTGGCACAGTGCCGCCGGTGAAGCCTCCCAGGAGGGGCAAAACATTGCCTCAGTGCAAGAAAACTGCAGTGCGGGGCTGGCGATGAGGACATGGTGGCTGATTCTGGGAGCTGAGGCTTGTGGGGCTGGATGAGGCCTCCAGCCCATCTCAAGGATCCAGAACGCCACCTGACCCCCACTTTGTATGTGAAGGAGCTGAAGCCCCAGCAGGACCGACAGAATAGATGTGGACAGACTGCTTCGAGACAGTGCTATGTGGTGATGAGAAGCAAGGAACAGAGTGTGTGTGACTGACAAGGGCTCGGGCGTCCTTTCTGTTCTCTGAGAGCTGCAGCTGAGCCCCAGAGCTGAGGCCCAAGATAGTGGAGTCTGCACATGCTCCAAAGGGGAGCTACACTGCCAACTCAGGAAGAACAAAGAGGGTGCACGCTCCAGGCCACGTGCACCTCGAGCCTGTATGCACAAGGAGGGTGAGGGATGGAGGAAGTTGCTAGTCGTGCATTTCTTTCCTTTGGGGAGGGAGGTACTGGAGAATAAACCCAGAGCCTTAACTACACTAAGCCCTTTTTTGTTTTTATTTTGAGACAGGGTCTCACTAAGTCATTAAATTGCCCAAGATGGGCTTGAACTCGTGAGCCTCTTGCCTGTCTTGCAGACTACAGGGATTACTGGCACATGCTATCACGCCCTGCTAGGTGTGGAATTCTTGGAAAAGGGATAGAGGAATCCTGAGTACAGCTGCCACCATCCTCCTTTGCCCCACTTCCTTACAGCAAAGGAAAAGTAGGAGCTGGTCCCAAGCCAAGCAAGGACCCCTGGCACTTTGGGCGGAAAGGTTGGTTCCTGACTCTCCCCTGAAAGTCCCTAGGCCTGAGAGTGGCTGGAACATCCAGGAAGACAGGCGGAAGGGAGGCTGGGTGTGTGTATGTCTGGATTTCTAGAGTGTAGAGAGGCAGGAGGTGCTGTTTCTCCATGAACTTTGTGCACGCCCCCCTGGAAAGACCCTGCACTTAGGAGACATGGAAAGGACCCCCTCACTGTGAGGTGATCCCTATAAAGTGGACATGCAACAGGTGCTGTGGACTGGAAGAGGTGCACATGGGGGTGATAAAGGGTCAGCAGCTCCTGCACAACCCCCTCGGGAACATCAAGGTGATGGTCCCAAAAGGACCCACGGAAGAAGTGCCCAGGGCAGAATCTGCACCCCAGACTTCAGCTAACAGAGGACCTGGGTGCCACAGGACAACAGCTGCCAATCCCACTGGATTCTCTGTGCCCAGCTGTCCCCGATCTGCTCCACTCTGCTCCTGGAGGAGTTAACCTGTCAGGAGGGATGGACAGGGAGCAAAGCAGGAGTGTGAAGAAAGCAGAGAAGCCCACTCTCCCACTCCCGGAGTCTGAGGCTAGACCAGGGTCAGCTTGGGGAAGGAAAGTTTGAAAATGGAGGAGAGACTGAAATGTTTTCATCTGGCTAGACTTTCTCTTTAATGCCCACTAGTTTATTTATAAACAATAGCCTTCCATTCAAGAGATCCATTCATAAAAACAGACCATGAAGCCAGGTGGTGGTGCATGTGTGTAATCCCAGCACTTGGGAGGAGGCTGGGGCAGGAGGATCGCCATGAGTTGCAGGCCAGCCTGGACTGCATAGCAAGACCCTGTCTAAAAACAAACCATAATAACAACAAAACCAAAACCTGAAATCAGAGTGAAAAGAATGGAGATTTAACTTATAACTTGCTGAAGCTCTAGACCAGTGTGGTCCAATAGATCTTCTATGATGATAGAAACATTTTCTGTCTCTGCTGTCACATTCGCAGAGACATTGAAAGCTAGTGGCACAGGTCTCGATGCTGATGCCATGGCTAGCCTAGATTCAGTTCCAAAACTATTTACTAAAAGGAATCAAGGAACCCCAAACACACAGTCTCTCTCTCTCTGTCTTTGAAGTTTTTAATACTTGATTTTTTTTTTTTGCAGTATGGGGTATTGAACCCAGGGCCTTCACACTAAACTATATCCTCCACCCTTTTTATTCTTTTATTTTGAGGCAGGGTCCCACTAAATCACTGAGTTGCCCAGGCTGGGGTTGAACTTTTGACCCTCCTGCTTCAGCCTCCCAGAGTGCTGGGCTCATAGGAGTGTACCACCACACCTGGCAGGAGTTTTTAATACTTAAAACTGAGCCTAAAACCTGTAGTGGTTGAGGAAAGCCACTCAGGTCGTCATCCAATGAGAGGGCAGGGATCTGATAGACAGTGGGGGGGAAAAGACACTTATTTCTAATTGTACCCCTGCTAGATCTAGGGTTTCCTCTAGGCCAAAAGCAAGTGGGAGCCCATGCTCCCAGGACGTGTGACCTCCGGCAAATCACCTTCCTCCCTGTGCCTCAGTTTCCTCATCTGTAAACCAGAGAGGCTGAAACAACTCCTGCCTACCTCGAGTGATTAAGCCCATGATGAACCTGTGCTTAGAAATAGGAATCGTTCGTAATGTACGTAACTCAAAAAGAAAAACAGATCGGCGTGGTTTCATTGAAAAAACAAACAGCAGCCTTGTAAACGTGCTACACCTCGGTGCCTCTGAGCTCTTGGCACACATGGAAGCCACATATTTGTACAGCAATCAAGCTTGGCAAACCCGCCAAGCCAGGGTTGTGCCCTCACACTGAGGGGACCCAGGCAGAAGCGGGAGTGCGGGACCCTCAAGGAGAGGAGAGCTTTGGGTTCCCCGGCTCAGAGGGACTGCACACCAAGTCCCCTGTCTCCTCCTGAGGTCTCCGTCCCACACCAGACTATTTCTCTTCCTTTCTTTCTCCTGTGCCACATCTTTATTTGTTTAAATCTCTTTCTCCCTCCACTCGCTAGAATGTAAGCCACATGAGATCGGGAGCTGAATTTGCCACTACCGTTATAAACTATAGACTGTGTTTCTGAACTTCTCTGTGATACCCTCTCTCCCTGCAAAAGCTCTCCTGCATAGATTTACGGGAGGGATGGCAGCAAAATGTTTGCCAATGCCTCTGGCTGCAAAGAGGCTACCCAAGTTATATTTAGATGTTCATATAGTTCCTTTCTTCGTCTAGCCAGGTGCTAGGGAAG